AAGAGTAGCCAGTTTAGAGGAGGAAGTCGGGCGGTTGAGCAGAGGCAAGAAGAGAAGAGCGATACCGAATCCCAACAGGAAGTTCATAACACTAGCCGAGGCTCTAGTGGCTGGTGACACTATTTCTAGGTCAAACGAAGCAATTGAAGAGGCAGAAGCTGTTGAGGAGGTGATCGAGGTGGGAGGGGTGGAAGAGGATGAGGGCTGAGATTCGGAGGCGGAAGAATTACCAGTTGTACGGACCCGCGCAGGCCGCGCAGTTAAAAGACCAAGAGGATATTAAAATACATTCAGTTCTGATCTTGATCCTAAATATGAATTTATTTTTGCTATTTTTATCAGGTTCTTGCCAGCATGACGAAAAATCGCATTTTGTATTGAGGAGTATATTTTTTGCTGACCGGGTGAGGGGTACTAGATGGTACGGCTGAACGGCAATGGAGGCATTCCCATTTTCATCCGTGAGGGCGGTGTCATCTTTGATAACGTTGATGCAACTAGAGTAAAGCTTCTAGCTACTGACGCAGTAGGGGATAATATAAGGTTTTATGTTGCATAGCATTAGGTCTTTGGAAATTGCGTTTTCTGTGTAGATATTATGCGACTTTTTGCTGCTGTGACTGGGCTCTGAGAAGACGCCACACTGAAACAATAACAATGGGCATAAGCTCTAGCCACATGTCCAATCGTGTACGCTTGCTGATCATCCACGTATAACTGGAGGGCTGTGGCGCCTGCAGTTACCTGTTGCCAGATGTATCCAGTTGGGTGGTTCACAGCGGATTACAACGAGCCGATAGCGGCTTCAATGTTATCCCTCCGCCTTCGTCCTCCCAACCAACTGATGAACAGACCCCCGTACTTGGTTGGATGTACGCCTCGAGTTGGATCGTCTTCGCCGATCACCGTACTGGCTCGATATAAGTTACGCCAACAAGCCCGTAGTCTACCTAAGAAAGGCCCATAGCCCTAAATTTTCGGTAATCTTTCAACAAGCGACCATTGTTTGCAAGTATTACAAAGTCAGGCTCGTGCTCTCGATACGAAACGCAGACTACGACATCACGTCATTCACATGTAGCCTCAATGGACGTCAGCAGCACCCGGAGATGACATCGGCCCATGAAATCATCTCAGGCCCGAGGCTTGAGAACCTCAACAGGTTGATGAGGAGTCACTCATGTAACTCACCAGGCCGCAGCCACCAACAATATCCTTCTATGCTTGCTGACGGAAGCATGACTGTGTCAAGTGTGACGATGGCAAGCCCAAATGTTTCCATTGCCCCAAATCGGATCGAGATCGCCGATATGAGCACCGCGAATTGGACTCATGAGACAACGAACAAATGAGTCCGCTGCTAACCAACATGCGGCTCGGCCTCAGCCGCCCGGCCCACCGTCCCGCTACCGCCGCACACAATGGTGGCATCCATCTCTACTCAGACGATCAGATTGAGGCACTGTGAACCTTTTGGGCATGATCTCACTGAGGTCGCGTGGCTTGGCTTGCAACTCTCCTTGTCCTCTGTCTTCAAACATTCCCTTCTGAGACCCTTGCGGCAGGTTCGAGGGGCATGGCTCAAGTCCGACCAGGCTTGCAAACAAATAAATCAAATCAAATCAAGGGTCCAATTCGATTTAATTTGGATACCAAAATTAGCGATTTGATTTGATTTGATTTAATTTAGATCGATTTGGATCTTATTTGGATATCTAGATAACTCCGCTTTTCTCCCGAGATAATATACATTGAGCGGCTCCTATGAGATCTGCTTTAAGGCAGCCTCTCTAAGCCGTGACTATTTGTCCGGTGAGGCTAAATATTCGCTCTGGCTCGGAAGACATGGCCGGAACTAAAAAGAGATCAATTGCCATCCGCGACAGACGTGGATACTGGCGTCTTCGGAGAAGCCAATATTAAATCAGGTCATCCACTACCATCCGCCACCACTTCAAGAATCACCCCACTTAAAGCATAGCACAAAAAATCGCCGCCCCATACAAAATCCAATATTTGATGCATACAAAAACCAACCACTTTTATCCGTGAGAAATGAAATCACGCCGGGGTTCTATATAGAATTACTTGAAGTTTACTCTCTGAGTGGTTTTTTGACCTCCCGGCCGCTTTGTGTCCGCTGGCAGTGCTTTGTTGTGACCGTAACGTCCTCACTTTCGTCCTCTGATCCGACACCCACCTCAATCACCGACTCGACCTCTTCGTCCACATCCACCTCTATTTCTGCCTCCTTTGGCTCACCAAGAGTTTCTCCAGACGCTAGAGCCTCTAAAAGAACCATAAACCGTCTATTCGGGTTCGCTACCGCCTTCCTTTTCTTCCCTCGCCGCAACTGGGCCATCAGCTCTTCAAGGCTAGCGATCCGCCTATTCTGAACGGCCACCTTCATTTCTAAAGCTTCCACCCCCTTGGCGATCTTTCTGTACTTCCTCCTCGTCGGACGACTTCGGTGTTTGGCCAAATCTCTCACCTGCCGGCTCGTCGTCGGCGTATCATCTGAGTGCAGCTGAGGAGGGCTCGGCGTCTTGAGTTAGTCCAGCAATTTTTCTCTGTCCGGTTAAATTTCCGGATGCGATAGAGCTTTATGACGATTTATTGGCCAATTTCCAGTAACCCTCCAGCAGGACAAGATAATCTCTTTCTTCATGCCCGCCTCCCTGGCTTTGGCGTAGGCCCGGATAAAATTCACCTTGTCAACCGGCGCAGAATCGGTCAAACTAGCCAGCATTTGCTGTTCTTTCCGATACGCACCTTTGACGACGTTAAAAACTCCATTATCCAGCGGTTACAAACCATGGGAGCAGTGTGCGGGGAGGTAACAGCAGTAGACATTGTTCAGAAAGCACGTCGCCATCCACTCGTCCTAGCTACTCATCAGCGACCCTATAGCCGGCAATTGTGCGGCGAAAACACCCAGAGGCTCACCTATGCATAGCTCCCATGACCGTCAAGGATAATTAGTCTCGCATCCGATGCATCACGAGGCTCCGTTTAAGGTAAATAGACGTCTTTCAGCCACCCAAGAGCTATATGGTTATCGGTCCAGCCGTTAGGCGATGTGATATAGTACCAGTCGGCTATCAATTTGAACTCGTCCAGAAACCACTGTTTCTATAGCTCCTTTCCTTTAAAGATAATCCCCGGTTTTAAAGCGCGGCCAGTTGCGGTGACGGCCTCGATAAATGAGGTCCACCTGCGCGACTGGGAGCCCTTTAATATCGCCTTCTTCTTCGGGTCAGAGCTCCCGATTACGAGGCTATCCAAGCCTTATGGACAACCAATCAGTTATAACCTATAAAAACACGTAGAGGAGTTACAGATGACTTACCGAAACCGGCCATTATGCCGCCCTCGTCCACGTTAACCGTGTTCTCGGGTTTAATCTAGCCATACTCGTCCTCCCGGATATCAAAGTACCAATTGACCGACCTTAGTGTGAAGCCGTCAAATCTGGCAGATTCCTGGCGTTTCCCAAGCTTTGTAGACAGTTTCGAATGACGCTTAATAAACCTAGATGTCCAGTTTTGGCCCAATGGCTTGTTATCTCCTGTTGACGGAGGAGGGCTTCGACGTAACTTCGAAGTTGGCTATGCGAGAGAGCGTAGCCGAGGGACTCCTGCCGCAGAAGCCAACGAACAAGGCGATCCTCTTGACTGGGGGAAAGACGTTGATGAGGGTGTGTAGACTCTTTCCTGCTCTTCTGGCCCGAAAGTCTCTTCGAGAGGACCGGCTGAGGCACTCCATGCTTCTCGGAGGCCTGGTACTGTGATAGAGAACCGTCAGTAATATCGAATATGGCATCAATAATGTCTTTTTCGGTGTAAACATAGCGACCCATTTTGGAGATATTTTACAGTTGTAAGCTGCGTAGAGAGCCTTGCTAACTTTGTGGGAGTGGAAAGATAAGGGAGAGAAAAATGCAAAATTTTCAAAGTGCTGAAACTCCCATTATAGGTAGCAAAGTCGGACAAAAAAAGGCCCGGGGTAAGACAGCATATAAAAACTAATGCACTGTAATTTTTCGTTTTTCTAAATGATTTTATTATAATAAAATATGATGCAAATAACATCGTAGAATTTGTATGGGGAGACGAATTTTTGTGCTATGCTTTAAGTGGGGTGATTCTTGAAGTGGTGGCGGATGCAGCGCTGCTGTCAATTCAAGTTCAAGTAACTTTAAGGCTAAATGCAGCAATATGATTGGAGAACTTGATAAATTCAATTCAAGTCATCCAATGAAAAAGCCGGATTCCTGCATTAAAGTTACTTGAACTTGAATTGATAGCAGCACTGGGCGGATGGTATTTCGTTCGGCGGCAGCCTTCTTTCGATGAGAGGCTAGGACCTCGGAAAACTGGGAGAGAAGCTCCTCTCCAGTGACACCGGATGCTGACTCGAGTGCTGCGACTAGAGCCTCTTTAGAAGATGCGAGAAGGAAGGCTTGAAGGGATAGATTAATGATATGCGCGATACAGCGTATACGACGTCCTTTTGCGTTGAATTTAATCTACTCAATGTCAGCCTATAGCCTAAACTGCGTAGTTAACTAACCTTATGTCTACTCATTAGCTTGCGTTGTATAGGCTCAAGACATGTGTCGTTTAATGTCGCGTTGTCACCCGTGTGCCAACCAAGTTTTGACTGTATCCCGTACTTCTCTAAAGTATCGATAACAGCCTGCGCTTGAGCTTCTCCAGAATGACTCTCTGCACATTCTGGTAGAGATAGTAGTGCCTTACGAAGCTTGTAGTCTTTATCTACCCATTGTGCACACACAGCAAGTAGAGAATGTCTATCTCCTGAGTGCGCATAGCCCTCCCAAGATGTAACGAGACCCATCTTCATATTTGGAGGGGAAGGCATGGTTAGGTGTTTCACTCGCTTATGAACTACGTTAACCCGTTTTTAACATCGAGGATGGCATTTTGAATATCAGCTTCAATGTGATTTTGCATGACGATTTAAATGACGTAAATAATATGCAATTACTATATTATGGCGCGAGAAAACGCGGCTAGAATGCAAAGGTGGATGGATGTGAAAGTGGTGAAAGAGTGGTCCAGAATTGGGGGGTTACCTTAACCTACATATTTTTGAGGCGGATAACTTAGGACGTACTATATTTCAAACCGTACATCGAGATATAGCCTTGGCTCTCCGCGTCTTCACCCTAGTGAGTCCACTCCACTTGGCCCGCAAGCCCAAGCCATCCGTGGGCGGCTGTGGCCGACGCTCACTCGCCAACAACAGGCACCACGTCGTACTTCAAGTGTAAAGTAGAGGCAAGTCCCTTCCCAAATTGAGCTCCACATCGCCAAGCGATTGATTGTTCGTCAAAGACAATGCTTTGCCCAAGAGCTGCGACACGATCGGATCAGCGATCCGGCGGTTGAAGGAGGCGACATCTTGCAAAAGGTTCTCCAACGGAGGACGCGCCGCAAGGTTGATTGACTCCTTGGCCGCCGCTAGCGCTGCAAGAGGGTATAGAACCAAGCGCGAGGTGAGCTCGTCAATGTACGCGTACATCTCACTCGATGTGTCGAAAGCTTTGTTGATCCAGCCGATTCTCTCCGCGTCTTGGGCGTTGATGTCCTTGCCGCTTAGGATATACTCCATTGCAAGGCCTCGGCCGATAAGTCCAGGAAGATGCTGGCTCCCTCCTCCCCCTGGGATGAGGCCAGTGGCCACCTCTATCTGTCCGAGGAGCGTTTCGTACTTGGTAGCGAAACGCATGTCGAGCCCCATCAGGAGTTCGTTCCCTGCTCCGCGGGCTCTCCCGTCAACTGCGCCGATGGTCACCTGCGGCAGGTTCGAGATGTTGTACATGAGTTCTACAAAACTACCCGCGGCAGTTTCTGGCTCATGCGTTAGATCTGTCTTCAGAGCGATTGAGCTTTCTGAAGCGTTGCCTACCAATTCCGGGCATCAGAAGGTCCAAATGGGCACAGAAGAACCCAGGAACGTCGCTCTTGAAAATGACGACCTTGGTTTCATTGTCGGACTGAAGCCTCTGTACAATGTCGGCCAACCCAGTCTGAAAATCATGGTTCCAGACATTGATCGGCGATGTTGGGTTGTGGAGAGTGATTTCGAGGACACTTGCGTTCTGAGAAGTCTTTAGACCTCGGTATTCTGGGAGATCCAGAGCGAGCGTTGTCGAAACAAGGCCGGCCAGGGCTGAGGTCCGAAGCCACGCAGGATACATGTTCTCGAATGAAGGAGGAAGAAGACTGAGTAAAGATAGAATATGTGATGATGCCAGTGAAAGCACGAAGTGTCAAGCGGACATCACCTCTGATCTTATACACAGTACGCCCGCTGGAAAAAGGAATCTTCCTGTATATTCATGCGCATCCCTTACACAGCTCGCACTCTTCGTGAAAGAGATTAATATTACAAATGCGCATAGTGCTTAGCAATCGACAGACGCGGAGTTAAGAAGTTAGAAGATCTTGGAAAACCCCGTCGGTGTCTACAACCATAGGTAGGGTAACTCGGCAGTTGGGTGCCGTGGGGCTTTTTCAGAACCCAGAAGCTTCGTTACGCAGCCGGCGCAACCTTCTCGCCGACTCTCGAGCTTAATCTTGCGCCACATGACGTTTCAGGGGTAGAGCGCCCGAGCCCGAGCTGGCGTCGGGAGAGTTCCGCTTAGCGGAGTTTGAGATATGGAGAGACTTGGTCTCGACTCGGCCTTTTGACAAAGCGCTCCGTCACATACAAATTTAGCGCCACTAGAAAGCTCTTCTTCCATTCTTTCAAGGTCTGGGGAGCACCAGGCCGAGAGTGCTGACTGCCGTGGGAACGTACCCGAATCGCTGCCGCCCATGACTCCTGAGAAGTCTCCATGTCGTGGTGTTTGCTGCTCTGTTCCTGTGCTCAAGGCTTGATGACACCTTGAGCCATAGTCTCCGAGAGGACACTGGTTTGTTTGCTGATGCAACGGCGTATCTTGCCATTTTCTAGTACATAAGAACCAACGATGGTGCACCAATACAGTACTTCCAGGTGCTAGTCAGCGGATCTTTGAGCCCGGCATTTATAATCAAGCTTTTACTTTGCCGCAGAAGACACCACAAAACTGAACTACGAGCAACTACTACGTTTAGCGTCCGGTCCGGCCAGGTAACCCATCAGAGCTAGATTAGACTGCAACGTTTCACTCGGACGAAGATGGTCCGCCAGTCTATGATCGACTCTCGGCCTCGGGATGAGGTCTAACAGGACGTAAAAACTTGTGGTTTTGTGCTTCCGCATCCAGCCCGTAGAGGTGCGCAGTCACGCAAAAACACGTGGTATGGCAAGACTGGGTCCCTATCTCGCCACAAAACTATATAAAACCGGACAGCATAACCCCTCGAGTGACCGAATGCACACTCCAACCGCAACAGTCTTCGAACCTGCTCTCTCCACCAATTTCTGCTCAGCCCGAATCAGCACCCAATTACGTGACCATGGCACCCAACAAGAGGATCATTCTCGTCACCGGTCAGTACCATTTTCGTCAAGTGCCAGTTTTCTGTTGGCTTACTTTTAGCTTTTCCAGGCGCCAACTCCGGCATTGGCTATGACACCTCCTACGCCCTCGCCGATGCCTCGCCAGACAACCACATCATCATGGGTGCCCGTTCCAGAGCCAAGGGTCTTGCAGCTCTCACCGAGATCCAGGCACGTAAGCCTGCCGGCACACTCAGCTTCCTCGAGCTCGACATCACCTCCGACGAGTCCATTAAGGCTGCCGCGCAGAAACTGGCGTCCGACTTTGCCATCCTCGACGTTCTCGTCAACAGCGCCGGCATCTCCGGCAAGGAAGAAGTCTCGCGCGAGAACTTCCACACCGTCTTCGACACCAACGTCTTCGGCACCATGCTGCTGACCCAGGCCCTGGAGCCTCTGCTGCGGAAGTCCCTCGATCCTCGGATCATCAACGTCTCCTCGACCCTCGGCTCCATCACGCTGCGGAACGATCACTCGTCCGCATACACCCAGGTTACGGGTGAGACGTACCGCGTTAGCAAGGCGGCGCTGAATATGGTTACTGGGATTCAGGCCTATCAGTACAAGAAATGGGAGCACCCAGCGAAGGTCTGGTCGTTTTGCCCTGGGTTCGTGGTCACCAACTTGACCGGGGAGGAGGATAAGCAGAACAGGATTGACCGAGGGGCGGAGTCGTCGGAGACGAGTGCCCAGGGGATAGCGGAGATTGTGAGGGGTGATAGGGACGGCGAGGTGAACCAGTTCTTGGCCAAGCGAGGTGAGGTCTTGCCGTGGTAAATCCGGGGTCCGCAAACGGGTCGTCCAAGGCCATGGCGGATGGAAAAGTCAGCTCCAATGAGTATGAATGAATTACTCTATGACTCCAGGAGGGGTTTGATACGGCCGTGGTGATATCTCCCTCAGAGCTTCTTGCCGAGAACCCGAGGCGATGAAGTCCCTCGGGTGGCGTTGCATAAGTTCCATGTTAGTCCGTTGTTCATGCAAGGCCTCAGTTGCGCCCGGAACCCCTGTTGCTCGGGTACTGGATGCCCCCTACTCTGGACTTGGCCGAGATGGTGACTGAAACTCGCAGTAGTGTATTCTTTTTCATTGGACCAGAACCCCTCTGCTGTGCATGGAGTGGTAGCGCTCAACGTCCGGAGTGACCGATGCGGTCAGCCAAGAAAACTCACTGAGCCGCAACTCAACAGGGGTCTATCTCGGACGACAGATCAATCAGACGCGGTAGCACTAAGGCAGGGTTACAAGCAGAGTGGGTGTATATGTATGCAGGGTTCTCTAACCCACACAAATTGTTACGGCGCATGGCACGCGGTGAAGATTCAGACATGCCATTCAACTGGTTCTTATTTAGCCATGCTTGGAGAACAGCTAGCGAGTTCAGCAGGCCCATGGATGAGATCATCGCACATCAAGCGCCAGTGACCACCAACCAAGCCTTGGTCCCGCCTTCTGGGTATTCGAGAATATCGCCGTCGAGAGTCTGGTCCGACGCAGTGCTTACGAACGGATCTTCAACGGTTTGTCCACTCTTCTGAGACGTGACATCACCAGTAGGAGTCAGAGACTCTGGCATCATTCGTTCAATATGAGATGACGGTTTCTGCGGTCTAGTACTCATTGTTTAGAGGAGATGGAGACTGGTTGATAGCCAGAAAGGGAAACACACAAACACACCTTGTTCAAAGTGTATTGAAGGATATGTATCATGACCAGTTCATTCTACTCATGGTCTTGGTCAACTAGAGTCCTAAGTGTTAAAACAAAAAGGGTTAGGACCTAGGAGCCTGTTGGGTCTTATATTTCAACACTAAGATGTGGGCATCGTGGTCCATTGTCATGTGCTACATCTTCAGGGGGAGTTCCAGGATACCATTTAGAATCATTTGTCTTCTCAATGTGGGGTTTGGGGATGCGCATCGTCAAGTGGCAGTTATGCACGCCTAAATTTCCAAATAATTGACGGAAGTTTGGGGAGGCCGAAGCCCGAGGTCTCCGGCAACTAGAAACTCCACGGTCGCTTCTGCGGGGCATTCCGGGATCATCCGCTGTGAATGCTGAGGTAAGGTCGAGGTAGGCTAAGCCGCATTCGCATGGTATTAAGTTTGTGGAACTTTTGGATCCAAGCTAATCTAAACAGCGGTCGCATCTGTGTTCGGCTCTTTACATATGGAGGCCGATTTGTAAGCGCGCGCACTTCGCACTTTTTCGTTGTCCGTTGTCATCTGCCAGTTTGCGATTTTAAAGTTCAGCTTGCCGTAATTATATACCCGGTGGTTATGAGGGCCCGGGCCCACTAACCAACAACCACTGCACCCGAAGGCGCATGAACTTGCCAACGTGGCCGATTGCGTTAACTTCGGCTAAGAGTCGGCGAAAACAGAACGAATATAAAGATCGGTTGATCCTGCGTTGTTTTCAAGTGTTTCACAAACTCATCGCACATTATCTCTTACAAAACTTAGAAGTCATCAGAGAGTCAGCCAGAAATCCTCGCTCCATCATTCGACTATACCACCATCTTCTCTTCTCCTAACCTCTCACAGTCCAGCATCATGGCCATCATCGCTGTCGCAGGAGGCACTGGCAACCTCGGCCGCACTTTGGTCAAGGCCATCGTCGCCACCGGCAAGCACGAAGTTAAGATCCTTGGCAGAAAGGTATGTCTTGGAGGGAAAAACGATGTGTGATTCGTGATTACAGACTAACCCCATCTCAAGGCCAACCCCGATCTCGAGAAGACACTTGGAGCCACCATCATCCCGGTTGACTACACTGACATTGCGGCAACGACCAAGGCCCTCGAGGACAACAATGTTCACACGGTTGTCTCCGCCATCGCCATGCTCGTCTTTGGCGGCGTCCCTCCCGAAGTAGAGCTCATCCGCGCCGCTGACGCCTCCAAGACTACCAAGAGATTCATCACCAGCGGCTGGGGAATCGCTCACACCGAAGAGTAAGTTTACCTACCTGTAATCAATCGTACTGACATGGCGAAAAGCCAAGCCAGCCAGCTTGTCTCCGTCCCCCACAAGCTCAATGCCGCAAAGGCTCTGAAGGAGACCAAGGATCTCGAGTACACTGTTGTCCACAACGGCATGTTACTCGACTACTGGACCACCAAGCCTTCAGAAATGTCGCCCTTCAGTCTTGTCGTCGACGCGGCGCACAAGGTTGCGGCCATCCCGGGGGATGGAAACACGCCCGTCGCCTTCACTCACACCTCTGACGTCGCCGAGTACGTTACCGCCCTCCTAGATGCCGAGGAGTGGGACGCCGACTCGACTATTGTTGGCGACAAGGTGACCTGGAACGAATTTGTGAAGCTGGCTGAGGCCGCCCACGGTAAGTCGTTTATCACCCCGCAGTGTGGATCTCTGCTAACACCGTGTCAGGCACCAAATTCGACGTGAGATACGACAGCCTGGAGGACCTCAAGAACGGCAAGGTCACGGAGCTGCCGAGTCAGGTTGCCGCGTACCAATTTGTTCCGAAGGAGATTTTCCAAGGATTTTGCATCACCTTTGGTCAGTGGTTCGCCTCTGGTGTTTTCGACCTGACTCCCTCGAAGGTCCTGCCTGGTCTCAAGCCCTTGACCGTCAAGGAGGCTCTGGAGTACAAGTGATCCTGTAACGCGACTTTAATAGGTAGATAATAATACGCATGTTTAATTATTTTCAACAGCAAGGTGAACCGTGTAAGGGTACACTATCATGTCGTCAATGCAGGAGTGAATCGAACAGCAAAGACATACATCACAGTTAAGTACCCGTAAGAACTCACGAGATTCGAACAAAATTGAGTTCAACTAGTGTCTCTTGGCAAGCCACACAGAGGGGGGGGATGGGCGGCAGAACTGATTCCGCACTAAAGATAGGTAGGGGGCTTGTTCCCACTTCCAACCTCCACCTTGCATTGAAGCTGCCCCCTGACATCGTGATAACGAAGATAGCTGCCGGCTTCATAGACATCATATGTGTGTTTTTGGTGTTGAAGATCATGATAAGACTATGCGAGGCTAACTAATTAGATGTCACAGATGACTTTGAGACCGCAGCCTGCTTCGAGGTCGGACAGACCTACCGCCTTGAGTACCGACTCCCTTCCTCGCCGGGTGAAGAAGAGGGCATTTCCCTAGTAAAATCAGGCTCTCATTACGGCTGGGTAATGGTGCGCAGTAGGAAGCCTGTTGACGATGTCATGAGGCAGGGGAAATTATGTCTGCAAGGTAGAAGGCAAAGGAAAGAGGTGGAGGAAGATGGACTGGAGGTTAAGAAAGGAACGTGAATGGCAAGAGGGAATAGCCTTCTTTTGGCAAGATAATAAGGTCAATAAGACTTCTGAAGGCGCTGATTCTTCTAGTCTAGTTAGCTAATATATATCGTATCTCCTTCTCGAGGATTTTGCGAGTCATCATCATCTCGCAGTCGTTGGATCAGATCTGCCTTCTTCCCTGATACCTTGAGGCCCCTCTTCCGCAGCCGCTCTTGCAGCTGCTTGATGACTTCTTCGTGATATCGTGTACGCAGAAGAAGCTCGTCATCGTCGGCAGCTAGGAATTCCTCGTCGTCACATAGGGGACCCACGGGGTCTTCGTCTTTGACGATGACTTCCTCGGCTTCTTCCCACCCAGTGAAGTCAATCTGATCAGAAAGTATATCCTTGATCCGGATCAGCCAGTCCTCAGTCCCGTCAGGGCGTACGCTTATTCCGCAGTTCAAGAACGCTTTTTTGACCATCTCTGACTGTGCATTAAGGCGCTTTAAAGCAGAAGCAACCACATGAGTAACCATAACTCTCTTATCACTAACTGACCAGTTAAAATCCTCTCCTTTCTCTCTTTCCATCCGCTCAACATACTCGTCAGTTGCCTCCTGTAACCACCGCTTAAAAGGTAGCGTTAATAGCGGTGTCAAGGGGTTGCAAAAGACTCGTACAGCCAGGGGGGATAAGGGCAAGGGAAATACCATTATCCCTTAGTTTCTTCTTAATCCCTTCGGTCTTATGGAACGTAGCTGCATCCATCACGAGCAACATATCCTCTTCTTCACCCTTAATAAGGGGAAGAAGCTTGTTGTCAATCCAGGAAGAAAAAAGCTCCTCGTTATTATATGCTGTTTTATTGAACTCCACGTTGACGTCAGGGGAATAAAGATGCTGCTCCTTCTTGTTGGAAGAACCGAGAGTTCCCCCTAAGCTTCAAGATCAAGATTAAAGTTTGAAGTCCTACGATTAAGGTTCAAAGTCCTAGATGGGATCATTCAAAGATATAAGGCCCCAAAAGGTCTCTCATTGAGATCATAAAAACTTAACCAAGAATAATTACAATCACTACAACAAGAACTACCTTTTGTCAAGTGCACTCAGCATCCCTGCGCAATTCAACAACAAATCATCGAATCCCCAAAAATGACCCGCGGGCCCTCGGCTCGGAACACTTCGGCTTCCTACAACAATTCTACAACAGCTTCAGCTGTATCTGGGCGCCCATTACGCGCAAATCAGATCCACCTATTCAGAAACATTCACACAAGGGCTAATCCGAAAGAATCATGTGGCAAATGAACATGATTAAGCTACAAATCTACAAATCTACAAAATACAGCAAACGCTGCTGAATTGGCTTCTTCAGCCCTAACAACCACTGTCCTACAAGTCATGCAACGGAACCTGGTCAATCGGATCCGTCAAAAAGAACAAAACACTTCGACCATAATGGTCGACAATACATATAAAAAGACAATGCCAATGTCTTCTACATTTCAACATCTACCTAATCCGCGATGAAGTGGGAGATCTGGGGCGTTAAGGCTCCAGTGATCGAAGATTCCAAGGCTTCATCTAAAACATCAAACTACCTGGGAGATCTGGGGTGCTAAGGCTCCAGTGACCGAAGAATTCAAGGCTGTCCGCCTCGCAAACATCAAACATTAAATAATCTGGAGGATCTGGGGTGCTAAGGCCCCAGTGACCAGAGAATTCAAGGCTGTTCGCCTCACAAATTTATCTATCAAACAATTTGGGAGACCCGGGGTGCTAAGGCCCCAGTGACCGAACAATCTAACACAGGTGTGGTAATAGAAGCTCTTTCCTGTTTTTCACCCACGAAGGTGTTTTTGAGGTTTTAACGAGGCCACACTCTGTTACGCAGAAACATCTCGCACCAATGGCTCGAGTGGGAGTGTTGAGATCCATTGTTTAACGGATCAATGGCTATTCCGATCCATTGGTGGCGAGGATGTGGATGTCTTCTTGTCAATAATTTCCGCTGGTTAGCACCAGTCTTTCTTCTTCTTCAATCAACACAATATGCTCATTTCAACATGGAAGACATAAAGCAAATGATTGAATAGATTGCTGCGGCCCCGGTCGAGAAAGTCTAGTACGGCACAAGTGATGCATCTGAAGATTTATCATACGAGGACCTCGGCCTCAAAGCCTCAACTTTTGAGGACTGGATTCGCAGGACGCAATAGGAAGGACCGCCAACTGAGAGTCCATAAAGGTCGCACTATTTCAAGCTGATAGAAAGAGAAATGGAGCGCATATTGTACACATTTACTTCGTAATTCAAGTGAAACTGCAGTTTAAGCATAGAGATTAAGGAACGCCACACGTGGCCTATGGGATCATGGCTTTGTGATTTGCATCGGCAGTCGCTCTCGACCAGGGTCCGCAAGAGCTCCGGAGCTTCGCTCGGGAGCTCGCGCCCTGTCAGACAATTGGCTGCGCGGGGATCACAGTTGGCATCGCGTTAATTGATGAGAATTATCTAAGGGGCAAGTGCTCCATGAGAAGCGCACGGTTCCCGTGCAGCTCTTATACAATGAAAGCTTTGCCGGTTTGGGCAGTAGCAGCTGCCTGCTAGGCAGCTGCAGCCACTGTAGGCAGGCCGGACATGCGACACGCCCCTTTCCTGGGTGTTTTTCTTTTCTTCCTTTCCTCTCCAGCCCCACGATACATACTGTACAGTACTCGTGTAGTCGCTCAGCTAGGTGCCAACACACTCAGTTGAGACCGTTACATACACATATGAAAGATTTTGCTTGTTTAGGCAGTCGTAGCTGCCTGCCGGGCAGTGATAGCCACTGAAGGCAGGTGAGTGGCCGGCCGGGCTGACACAACAGGCGCGGACGTTCGCGTCTCTATTGGCTCCCGTGAATCAAACTGCTTTTATGTCATGGCAAGGTATCGTGCCGCAGTCCACTCTCTGCATCGTCGGCCCCAGATCATCATCGGCACCGTGAGCAAGCTAACGGCAATGCAGAGACAGCCAGAAAGGGTACACATGTTATACAGGCCCATCTTCGCAATCCAGGGACTCAAACACATGGCAGTGAGAGTGCCAAAGGCGTTGCGGATAAACATGATACCGATGCTTGCATCACCAATTACCTACAGGACGTGCACAGCCATTAGTTTGTCCCCGGCGGCAGGGTATGACGATCGAGATCTTTTACTTACATCTCTGTACGAGTCCAAGAGATATACAACGCAAACATTGCTCAGGGCTGTGCTTCCAAAGCCAAAGATTCCCAAGCCAACAGCGGGGATATACCATGGCATGCCCTATATAACCTGTCAGCGGCCACATCTAGCAAGCCAAGAAGATTCGTGTAGCCTGCCTGTGAAACAGAGAGCCCAAACATGAAGTACCCAGCAGGTGTAATTAGAACAGAAGGCAGAGCAAGCCATAGACGCATCTCGGGCTCGTAAACTCCACCGTTTCGTCTCGCGAGCCATTGAATACTGTAATCGGACAACTGCCCACCGAAGAAACCGCCTAGAATGGAGCCGATGAAGGTGGGAATGTTGAGGAGCCCCACACCTGAAGAGGAGAAGTTGTATGGAGGCAAAGTGAAGTATATCGCTTGCACATTTAGCAGGATGGCAAGCCAGGCAAGCTGTGACCCGTACACCAGGGCGACAAACGCAACTCCGGGAAAGCTAAAAAGAAGGACAAAGGGCCGATAGATATGTATGAAGAGCGAACTACTCCCACCACTAGCAGTGGTGAAGAGCGACATCCGTTGCCAATATGATTTGAGTGGAATGTCGGCCAGCGTGTTGCTTTGTTCCATAGATAACGTGTCTGCGCCAGTGATTTTGCTTTTCCGGTCTTGCTCAATGCCATCGATGTCGTCCGGAATGTCACCTCGAACCATGGGTGTATATACGGTCTCCTCGTAGCAAAAAGAAAACAAGAGCAGTGTCACTCCAGCTAGAATAGAGCTCCACCACCATATCCTAGATTGCAATACAACGTGTCAGCTTCGACATGCACACAGGAGGAGGAGAATGACATGGGGAGAGAGGAGGCAAGACGGAATGATCTCGCTTTTGCTTACCAGCGCCAGCCTTGTGAAGCGGCAGAGTAACCAGCTGCAACAGGCGCCAGGAAAGTACCGGTGCATATCATGATGTTGAGAATGTTTATCCGCGAGCCGCGCTGGTGCACGAAGAACAAGTCGGCTATCGTCAGAGCGCAAATTGTCTCAGTGATTGAGCCTGCCAACCCGGAGACTATGTTGAACCCGTACAAGTCGCCAAGGGTCCGCATACGCGCCTGCCAGATGGTCGTCACTACCATGATGACGATGCTGAGGAGATAAACGGGACGCCGACCGAACTTGAATGCAAAGGGGATGAACATGATACCGCCAATTGCTAAGCCAGCAGTGGAGACGGCAAAGGATTGATTAAGTTCTTCCCACGAAAAACCAAGCTCTTCGTGGACTTGGCCATAGACAACCGTGCCAATATCGATGATGGCATAGACAATCAAAGCATAGAAGCAAAGAAGGGCGAAATTGGCATTTTTTCGCGAGCGCGACCAGTTCAGCGGATCATTCGGGTCATCGCTCGGGACCGGTTGTAAAATGACCCGCCCGTGTTGTCGCTGGTCAGTGACTGTTCTACTGTAAGGCAATGGACAGGACGGTTTAGGAGGATGCCTCGCTTACGGTATTCTAGCTGCACGGTGCCTGGCGGGAACGGCCTCGTGTCGGATCTCTCTATATCGACGCTGAGGGGCATGGCGACGAGCTGGAAGATCTCCCGATTATGTTAGGTAAATAATGAGAACAATATAGTTGGGTTTGGCAACAGGACGGAGGCATTTCCTTATGACACTCCCGTTCAAAAGCGTGTAGACACGTGGTGGTATATATATTAATGCGCGGGCTGACTCGTCTCTACACGGGCTCTTGGACTCCACTTCCCTTACAGATGGGTCCGACCATGTCTCGGGACTCCCCGGACTTCTGAGGTTTTAGCGTGGCGGGAGGCTTATTTAGTCCTAGCGTAGGACGCACTGCGGAGGTTGCGCGTTATGGGGAAAGTAGATATATGCGGGGACAAAGCAAGGACACTACGGATACTCTGGCTAACATGATGTTGAGCGTGTGGAGGTTAGGGCGGCGGCTGTCCTTGTTTGGATTAGTGCGGCGGCTCTCCTTGTCTGGATTAGTGGCACTCATGAGGCGCAAGTGCGACTTCCCCCGTGGAGACGGAAGCTACCATGCTATTACCATATTATCTCGCGTGCTTTACGTACTTTCCTATGTCCTTTGACGAGCACGGATTACCGTTTCCCGCTATTGTCGGGCGGTATCCATATTTCGCTCTAGCGATGCGTGCCCCACGGGTCCGATCAAGGTTTTATAACTTTTGTTATTGACTCTGGTTGAGCAAGCCGCCTTATGCCAGGGGGACGAGCCGAGGTGCGAGCCAGGCCAATATCAGATAGGAACGGGTATAAATGTAACTGCTCCCCCGGGTTTCAAGTGCGACTTATTACTATGTACTGGAAGACGCTGCTTGTTACTCTCGTGGATCTCCAACAACGCAAGTTTGACGACCTTCCGATACACTTCAGCGCAATGGCTTCCAAATTAAAGATTGCCCTAGTGCAGCTCCACTCTCACGTCTGCCACCCTTCCAACGCCCCTCAAGTACACATCAATTAATCCAGACGCACAGCCAACCGACCTGTCCAGCAATTTCAACCGCGCGGCCGAGTACATCCGCAAAGCTGCCCAGGATGGTGCCAGTATTGCAGTCCTGCCCGAGTACCACCTCGCCGGGTTTCGCGAACAACTGCAGGATCCCGAGGCAGCCACACGGCAATCCGCCGAGCACCTGAAGCGCTACCAAACGCTAGCAAAGGAGCTGCATATCGGCATTGTCCCTGGGACGGTGCTCGAGCCCAAGACGCAGGGTGGAGTTGCCGGCGACCACACAGGGCCACTGGCAAATATAGCATACTTCATAGGCCCAGACGGAGAGCTGCTTGGACGTTACCAGAAGAAGAATCTATGGCATCCCGAGCGGCCTCATATCGCCGCTGATACCGAGTCCCCGCACCGTGCATTCGACACGCCGTGGGGGAGAGTGGGTCTACTCGTGTGCTGGGATATAGCTTTCCCGGAGGCCTTTCGCGCTCTCATCGCCGACGGGGCGCGCATCGTCATCTGCCCATCATACTGGGTGGCCGGTGACGGCGGCGAGGGCCATCGATTCAACAGCTCATGTGAGGCGCTGTTTCTACAGAACGTGTGTGTGGCGCGAGCATTTGAGAACGCCTGCGCTGTCGTCTTTGTGAATGCCGCTGCTCCACTGGGAAGCACCGACGGCAAGGATCTTCTTGGCAAGGAGTACGTTGGGCAAAGCCAAGTGGCGATGCCGTTTCAGGGTTCCCAGGGTACGCTTGGTGCTGCCGAGGGTTTGAGTGTCGTCGAGATAGAAATGGAAGCTCTGGATGTGGCAGAGGGCATTTATAAAGTTCGGCAGGATATAGCAACGGCTAGTTGGCACTATCCACTCGCGTACGAGACTAAGAAAATAGCTATGAAATGATATGCGCTGGCTAATAACTGGCTCAACTGAGCCACTTAGGTATTGGTCATATGCAATGACATCCACATGCAGGCAACTTGTCGATTTCCGGCTGCGCAAAAACTGTCTACCGTCGATGCCACATAGCCACTGTATCCTCGTTATTTTGACGAAAGTGGGGAGGTAGGAAAGTTGCCTCTGGGTTTGACCTCGATAGCTCGGCCTTGCGAAGTCTTGCAAGCTGCACTGGATGAGGCTTTCCATGGCGGTGTTCTCGATAGCCTAGCTCAGTACTTAAACAAAGCAGTGGTCAACACGGAAGCTATTGCAATGGAATTGAGTCCATCAACTTGAAATGCAAGTTGAGTGGATTGAATTGATGCACGTGACTTCAACTTCAACGAGATTGAAGACATTGAAAGTGGGAAATGATGACCAGCCTGAGCTGTATCAGAGTCACTCGCACATTACTCGATGGGTTGAGTAGGTGGGGCAGGCCCTTTACGCCCCCATCTCTCCCCTGGAGAGATGGCTGCATTCATCGTATCTTTGACGCCTTCGTATCTGTTGAATAGTGTCAAAAGGAAGCTCATGGAAGTAATTTGAAAGGCTGATAAATATTGTCATCAAAGATGACAGTTGCCACCTATTGCCACAGGCTTAGCAAGCTGCTTCTAGTTGATTCCACATAGCACAGAAAAGACATATAGAGCTTGCTTTAAACCTCATGCAGCAAGCGGGACACAGCAATCTCACACACAAGAAGATGAATAGCACACAATTCACCCCTATATTTGACACATAGGCACAAGAGCGAGTGGCTCAAGAGCTACAACTTCCTGACCTCCCGGAAGATACACAAGCCGACCCCGAGGCTCTGGGAGACTACCTATCGCTAGGGCTTTCGTCGATGCCTCTTATACCTCCGAGTGACTCCTCTGGTGTTCAAGTTGTCCTAGAAGGGGGCAACCGCAGCCAACCGAACCCCTTTGCGCTACCCTTCACTCATCAGCCCCTGGGCTTATCACCGGCAGAAGAAGAAGCCGTGATAGATAAGATTATGGAAGAAATTACTGCGCAGGAAGTGGTACATGATGAAGATGATGATAATCGTCTTATTACGCCGAGGAATCCTCATTTGCATGCATCGTAGTCTTCTTCTGACGACGATGAAGATGCCTCTTTTATTGTTAGTGTAGGGCGGCGAATTACATTGCCGCCGGGACGTAAGCGAAGGTATCAGGAATAAGGACAACAGCCCTCATTCCACCATATATCGAGAAAAATAGAAAAAAGAAAATACAGCACGTATAATAGTACCTATACAGACGTCTCTCTCAAAAGTTTTGTCCTCACGCTAAAAACGCCACAAATCGGAAATAGCAAAACCACGGCTAATTACTATGAGGTTATTCCCGGCCTTCTTTATACTCATTTCCTCCTTCAAGCTCAATGATTTTCTGCACATGGACCGGTATTCTCTCTATCCAGGCTTGGATCTTCTCTTGCGGCAGCTCCTCCCAAGCGGCCTCCCAGGCACGAATAGCTTCAGCCCGGTTCCTCGGGGCACCTTTCTTCGTAGTTACCCTCTTCAAATAAGCCCAGGTTGGCTCGATTGCATTTAAATCCGGCGAGTTGCCACACCAAAGAAGCCGGCGGACCTCGTGAAGATCATATATCCGTTGTTGAGCGTGGTGTGCGTGTGATGGTGCCTTATCTTCTTGAACAACCGTGCCCGGCCTCTCGAGCTGACATTCCTTTGCAAAAGGAAGCATCTTCGGCACCAAGATAGTCTGCTGATACCTCCACCAGTCGATGCCGTTGCCCGAGCCTCTCGTCAGCTTGCCGGTCTCCTTCTTCCACTTCCACGTAGGCTTCTTGCCGGGCAGGTTACGGAGCCCTAGCCTCCTCATACCATTACTCAACTCCCACTCCTCCTTCATAATCGGCTCTAACTCCTCATTCAGAGCGTCAATTAATAACTGCGCTTCCTTCCTCTCTTTGGCGGTCTCTGGGCCCCAGCAATGACAAGGACCCTTCTTCTCATAGGAAAAGGCGCCCCAGAACATGAACTCGCTGGCCCCTTTCCATCTCTCACGAATACAGCTGCGGGAAAACCGTTCCTCGACTCGTCGCCACACACGATAGCCTCCTCGGCGATGGAGCAAGATAACAGAGGTCTCGTCAGACCAAATCACATTCTTCCAGTCCTCGAGGGTCCAGTCTTTATGGGCGATACACCAAGCAAGGCGTTCTCTTCTCATCTTCTTCGTCAACCCAGGCTTCCTCGTCGGCTTGGTCTTCCGGAAGCCAGCTTTTCGCAGAATCCTCCAAACCGTCATAGCCGAGAGATCGAAGCCCTGAGAGCTAAGCTCGCCAGCGATATCAGCACATGACTTTTCCCTTCCGTAGCGGTCACGCCGAACCTTCAAGATAACCTCCTTCTTGGCCTCTTCTGTCTGCTTCGGTGGCCGGCCGGGTCGATGAGCATCACAGAGATATTCGTCACGGATAACAAGTGGCCGCAAGTTAGGGTCAAACCCTCGTTCAATCGCACGAGCATAGATACGGTTGACTTGACGGGTTGAAAGGCCGGCTATAGCAGCGACTTCTGCAGTGGTCTTGCCGCCGCAAGGTGCCCTGAGGGCGACGACGAAGGCACGGGTCGCGATATCGGTATTTGGGGCCATAGCTAGGGACCTAGAAAACTGTTAGAAATCGAAGAGAAAGCTGATGAAGAAGATCACCATAGAAAATAGCCGGGGGGGCCCTTCACCGCATTTTTTTTGCTTTTGTGTGGCTTCTTGTGGCGCTAATTAGCGTCTTGGCAGGACAAAACTTTTGAGAGAGACCTCCGTACTTTACTGTGAATTAATTTTTTGAAGATATCTTTAAGTTTGATAAGGATATATTGATTTGAAGGTCTGATAGAGGGATACGAATACGTCAAAGATACGATGAATCCAGCCATCTCTCCCCTGGAGAGATGGGGGCGTAAAGGGCCTGCCCCACCTACTCAACCCATTAAGTAGGACTCGTTGCAGTTGTCATTGGGAGAGGGAGGAGCAGTTGGGGAGGGTGGTACTCTTAGTGCTCCATTTTAGCAGAAAAGGAGGTAAAATCGCCCACAGAAAGATTGCTGTTGGTACAAAACCGGCTTGGCTTCGCCTGGGTACCACTGTGTGGCAGATCCAGCCTGCCTACAGTGGCTGCAGCTGCCTGCTACAGCTGCTACCCCCTAAACCAGGCAAAGCTTTCATCTGTGTATAAGAGCTACACGGCTCCCGTGCAGCTTCACATGGAGCTCTTGCTCCTCAGATAATTCTCATCAATTAACATGATGCCAAATGTGATCCTTGCGGAGCCAATTGTCTGACACATTGTTTATACCGTGTAACTTTAAGCGATACTGGCCGCTGCCACGACTGCCACCCTGTGGAGCACTGGGCAGTTCAGCAACTCGCGCCATTCCAAGCTGAGGTTGCCGCCGCGCTAATCCGTAAAGTGCTGGCCCACAGATGCTTATTAACTACGGAGCATTTATATGGGGCCTGACATTGTCTTCCCTAAACCATAACTTCCCTCAACCACCACCTGCATAGTTAAGACATGTTTGCAAACTTTGAGCTGTGGTCGGGTGGCATGGTCGAGCACTCGACCAAGGCACGTCTGCCGCGATCCACAAGCGGTTGCATTCCCTGTACGTTCCTTGACCCCTGCTCTCAGCGCAACTCGCCTACTGCCAACGGCGCTAATTACGTGTGACCAAAGGCCGCCGCACCAAGAAAAAGTGCGACGAGAGGCGGCCGGCTTGCGGGCGCTGTGTACGGCGAAGTCAAGGCGAGTGCACTTGGCCGCGGCCTACATCCTCGCCCTCCTCCGCCACGGGCCTAGATGACGGACAGCAGCCTCAGGATGGGAGAGAGACAACTCTGTGCACAGTGAGGCCTAGCACCGATTCTGTGCTTGGCATATGTGCCACCATGCCGGGTATCCAACCTGCGTTTGCCTGGGAGCTGATGTGCTATGCCAACCGCGCAATTCACGGCGCCTACTTTGACGATCACTACTCCATCTTTATCCCCTTACTCCCGCTGCTGGCCGAGTTTCCCTCTTATGCTTACACATGGCTGGCACTAGGGGCTGCTCAACTGGCGCAGCAACTACCGTCCGCAGAGAACCCATTGCGACTCATATCGCTAGAATACCACTCGCAGGCAATAGGCGGCCTGCGCCAACACCTCCACTCTGCCCCAGTACCTCAGGAATGGGCCCTGTGCTCCATGCTGCTACTTCACATTTTCGAAAAGTTTGGCGACGGGTACCGATCGCCCTCGGATGTATATGTTAAGTCGGCGCGAAGCATCTTTCTCCGCCATTTCACCCATTCGCCTCCGAGAGACATGCGCCACATTCTACAGCTAGAGAGCCTGGTATACCGAGTCGCCATTACTAGCACTTTCCGGCTAGGGCCCATGTGTCACCTGGAGGAATACTCCTCCCTGGACGAGCTCCTCGATATATGGGCGTCGTCACCGATCACTTGTGGTTTGTGGCAACATAGCCTCTGGATCGGTCTGCGGCCGCCCATATTCAATGCAGTCTTTAAGCTATCAGTCCTCCTCCGTCTCGTGCCCCTCCAACCTTCCTGGAGGTCTGAGCTGGACAAGCTAGAGGGCAACTTTCGGCACTATCTTGGGCCTTATGAGGCGTGGCCGTCGCACATGGGCGACCCAGATCATCCACCGGATAGCGGTGGCAGGCCTTGCTTGTCGCTAGCAGACCAGGCCCGCGCCGCGCACTGCCTTTACGCTTATGCCTGCCACATAATCACGACCAAATTGCGGGACCCTGAGTCAACGCAGTCCGGGGATCAGGTCCGTCGAGTATCCCGCCTCGGTTTCCGCCTTCTGGCGTACCTGGCAAAAGCCGGGTTCCTATCACCAGTGTTGATATGGCCAGCTACCATCATCAGTCTCGCCGCGTCGAGTCCGGAGGACCAGGATATAGCGACGCTGTACATCAACGGTCTAGCCCACAAGTCTGGATCACGGGCCATTACATCAGTAATGCGCCTTCTGCACCTTGCATGGACGAGAACCAGTAAAGAATGGCCGGCCGGAACGAATATACTCTTTGACTTCGAAGCGCTCGGCGACGTTTTTATCTGAATGGCAATGAACTTGCATGGTTTTGGGCAAGCGTGGGAGACCCTGAAGACAATGGACTATCTGTTCGTAAATTCAGGCAAGCTGCGGAGGACACCCGGTTCGAGGAAGCCTCTCATTTCAAGTCGGGAATTGACTGCGGATGGGCGAAGCTCGAAGAGACTATTACGTCAAAACGGATCGTACACCTGTCTATCGAGCCGCGCTAGCGCTTCACCCATCCTATGGCTATGACTACTCTGAGCGGCACTGGAAAGTCGCGATGGACAAGCCGAAATGGTACAGAGACATGCAGTCCGCTGTTGGTCACCTGTTCGATGAACACGCCAGACAGGCTGAAGTGGAAACTGAAGTGGAAACGCAGGCTCAGGCGGGGCTTTTGGAGAGTGAAGGTGGCGAGACCGATGCTGAGGTCAACGATTATGGTTCCTTTGGGAAAAGGTCAATCCGCTCCTTGGGTACGCAGCGAAAGAAAGCCAAGACAATCAGGCTTGTTGGCATAGTATGGACCGTCCCATACTGTCTCCGAATGTGGAAACTGTCAGACAGTACGTGTATTCGGTCCATTGGTTGAATCAGTGTATTCGTGTTGTGTTCGTGTTCTCGTTAAGTATCCGCCCCTGAAGGACCTGCTTTTAATCTTAAGATCCTTGACCCACACGTGACACCCCACATATTCAACAGAAACGCCATCCGGAAATAATGGGCTTCGACAACGCGCACAATACAAACCGCTTCAAGCTGCTGCTCTTTCAGATTATGGGGCAGACCTGTCGGAAAGCACGTGTGGCACCAAGATAACTGCAATTGTGTTGTTGTTCTTGTTGAGTTCAATCTGACTGTCTGAGGTCATCGCCACTTATGATATATGCAGCTCCCCCTCTTCTTGCCTAATTGGGCCAATTTCCTTCTTCGGGTTCCACGTGAGCTTGTTGCGTACAGGGCTCAATTCAACATGAACACTTACACTGTACAGCTAAAAGGCTAAACTTTAAATTTTCTAAAACGCACTAACGTACATGATAAGCGAGTCGGAAATACAAGCGAGTCGGAAATTATACTGTACAGCTAAAAGTAACTTACAAATATTAGATTTTCTAAAACTAGCTAACGTACATGATAAGCGAGTGCACCGGACAAGTGAGTGCACCAAAAATCCCTCAACCTACATCACTTCCATTTGATCAATTAATTCTCAACGACCAAACATGCCTCAATCAAATAAAGAAGCTAGATTGCTTCTTGCACTTCAAGCCCTTCAAAATAACCCAAAATTAAAGCTGCGACCTACTGCAAGACTCTATCAGGTTGACTATTATGCCTTGCGTCGTCGGCACAATGGCATTCAGTCTCAGCGCGATACTACTCCCAAATCACGCAAATTATCCGATCTAGAGGAACAGATCATAGTTCAGTTCATTCTCGACCTAGATTCGCGAGGGTTTCCCCCGCGACTACGTGGTGTGGAAGAAATGGCCAACCGACTGCTCGCTGACCGCGACGCGCCACCCGTCGGCAAGCGCTGGGCTTCCAACTTCGTCAAGCGACACGATGAGCTCAAGACGCGTTTTTTTCGTAGATACGACTACCAGAGGGCCAAATGCGAAGATCCAGCCGAGATTCGAAAGTGGTTCAAGCTCGTGGAGAACACAATTGCGAAATATGGTATCGACCTTGCCGATATCTACAACTTTGATGAGGTTGGCTTTCTAATGGGCGTCATTGCAAGCGGAATGGTCGTCACGGGCTCCGAAAGACGTGAAAAACCGAAATCAGTGCAGCCTGGAAACAGGGAATGGATTACTGTCATCCAGGCCATCAATGCGGAAGGCCGAGCGATCCCGCCGTTCATCATAGGTGCGGGCCAATATCACCTCGCCAACTGGTACCGAGATAGCAACCTCCCGGACGACTGGGCTATTGCAACGTCTCCCAATGGCTGGACCGATAATGAGCTAGGGCTTGAGTGGCTGAAGCACTTTGACCGGTGCACAAAGACGCGATCAGTTGGTCGCTATCGTCTTCTGATCCTCGATGGTCACGAAAGTCACCATTCTCTCGAGTTTGAGAAATATTGCCAGGCAAACAAGATTGTTACACTCTGTATGCCGCCTCATTCGTCTCACCTGCTTCAGCCCCTTGATGTCGGGTACTTTAGCCTACTCAAGAAGGCATATGGTCGAGAAATCGAGCATCTGATCCGATGCTCGATAACCCACGTTTCCAAGACCGAGTTCTTTCCCGCCTTTTACGCCGCATTCCAGGCCACTATGACGGAGAAAGTCATCAAGGCGGCTTTTAGAGGGGCCGGGCTTGTTCCACTTGACGCGGAAAGCGTGATTTCGAAGCTTGATGTGCAGCTACGGACGCCGACGCCGGTTGAGGAGGAGGCCGGCCCCCTACCACATGGGTTTCAAAGACGCCAAAGACCGTCCTTGAGGCCGAATCTCAGTCTGAATACCTCGATAGACGAATCAGAAGGCATAAAAGTAGCTCTCCAGAGTCAATTCTGGAGGCATTAAAGTCTCTTTCTAAGGGAACAAAGGCAATGATGCATGAGAATGCCTTATTAAGGGCAGAGAACCGCGACCTTCGACAGGCAAATGACCTACTAAGTCGACGCCGGAAGGCAAAAAGAACCCGATTACAAAAAGGAGGAGTGATGACAGTAGGGGAAGCAAGGGGAGCAATTGATCAGATTAGTGTAGATGGGCAGGTAGAGGGCGAATCGTCGAGAGGTGGTGGTCAAGGAGGGTCAGCGAGACCGAGGGAAAGGCGCTGTGGAGGATGCGGAAAGACAGGACATAATGCAAGAACATGTCAGATAGTTGTGGAAATATCTGAAGAAGAGTGCAGTGATTAATTTTAATTAATTAGGTGACTTCTTGTGTTTTTCTGGTGATTCCTATTTTAAAGGTTAAGATTTTTGGTGCACTCACTTGTCCGGTGCACTCGCTTATCATGTACGTTACATAATTAATAAAAACTAAAAAAAAATTACTTTTAGACTTCTTAAGAAAAAAGTCATGCAATAATCTTTTTTTAGATTTTTTAAAAAAAACTATTAAGCTAATTAATAATAAAAGTTTTAAAAAACAGTGTGAATATGCTTTTTCTTAATAACTATTTAAAAATATATATATAAAATTTAGGAAAATTGTTATATATAAGGACTTGCCTAACAGAGCTAGTTTAAGATTTATAGCTATTTTAGGCTAAGTTTGAATTTTTAAGAATTATTTTAAAATCGCAATTTAAGGTATAAATTCTAATTTCCGACTCGCTTGTATGTTACGAGTAGGAAGATCAACCAGGATACGAACGGAAAACGTCGGAGCTCGGAATGGAACAAACAGGCCCCGGTGGAAGTGGTGTGTGGTCGAACTGGTCGAACGGGAACGAGTTCGACCACGTTCGACCAAAAGTGAAACCTTAACCTTAAATGGTCGAACTGTTGGAGAAGTGGCTTGTATGATGGTGTTACACAGGCATGCCACCTCAAGGAAGATGACATCACGATGATACCAGAATTGTCAGAACAGCAAGTCTAGTATCTTGGCCAGGTCTCTTCAAGATAAAAAGACAAAGACGGACAGAGATCACGATCAATCAATGATCCTTGGGTCTCCATCTTCTGATCACTTACTCCATCAATATACGAGCACGCGTGTCTAACAATTAAGAGTCTCATCCGCTCCAAAGAGCTTTCCGCGCTACGAACGATACGCGTTCCTCACATCATACCGACATTATCCGACATGACTGACAACGCCGTCTACTACAACGACGCCAAAGACTGGGAAGACTGGCAGATGGAATTCCGCAAACGAGCCGAAGGCGAAGACGTCTGGCAGTATATCGAGCCGACTAGCGACCTTCCGTGGCCGCAAGAGCCCACGCCACCGAATATCGCGGACTACCAGTCGAATAAAATTCGAGCCAACACCGAGTCGAACAGCTCCGGACGATCGGGTAGATCCCAGACTGCTGTGTCGGCTGTTCCACAAGGCCTCGGCGATCTCTCCGACGCTGAGAGGCTGAGCTTCCAGCAACATTGGAATGTATATCCGGTCGCGATACGGAGATACGAGACAATCAAGAAGTCACTGAGAGCCCTCCGCGAGTGGGTGCTGAAGACGGTCAACAAGTCAATTCAGAAGACCGACCTTCCGCCCAACGACAATCTCAACAAGTGGTACGCGATCTTGGCCCAATCAGGCGAGGAATACGCGAGTCACCGGATGGAAGACGCTCGAATCGCCTTCAAGAATCATCTCCGATCAGCTCCAAAGAAGGAAGCAGGGCTCGAGAAGTGGATCGTCAGGTGGAAAGAGCTCATGGCTGAAGGTCAGAGACAAGGAGTACCCGAGACAACGGATCCCCGAGCGTGGGCCCTTGACTTCGTCAATGCAGTCGAAGAAACGGCGCCACTCTGGGCATCGAATTACCGATTGAACAAGCTAGATGCAGTGAACAATCGCGAAGTCAGCTATCACGAGGTGGCGACGAACCTATTGAGGGAAATCGCCAATAGACGCAACCGCAGCGCGGCTCCACGAGGCAGCTACAAGGCCGGTTTCTTGACTCTCCACGGTCAGCAGGCTGATCAGGACGATACCGACCAAGACGACCGCGATACTCAGCCCCCAGAGCCAGCAAACCTTCGCGGTAAGGCAGGCAGTAAGGGCAGCAGCAGCGGCCGAGGCAGAAAGAAGACAGACCGGAAGCGCAAAAGGAAGGAATCAGACACAGAGGCTAAAAGTGGAAGAAGATGCAAAGCTTGCCTTGCGCCCGGTCATTCAATCAGCAGCTGCTTCTATGTCTTTCCGGAGAAGGCACCGGAAGGCTTTCGGTTTAACGAGGCGGCGGCAAGATTTGTAAAGATTCAAATTGAGTCAGATACAGCGATGAAAGAGGAGGTCAACCGACTCTCGAAGAAAGCAAAACTCGAGTCAGATGACTGACTAGACCACGGGGTCGGAGTGACAATGAGCTGCTTCCTTATCATTCGTGAAGGATCGAAGGCAGCGTTTAACTCGTCCCCGTATCCCTTGAAGAACTCGGCCATCTTAGATTCGGGCTCTACGATCCATATCTTCAATTCCTTCTCAAGGTTCCGAAATTTCCGCCACGCACCAATTGGCGATTTTGTATTCGCTGGAGAAGTGAAGGTGCCGATTCAAGGATACGGCGAAGTTGACATCCGTATTGACGGACCACAAGGCTCGTGCATCATGACACTTTCTGATGTCGCACTTTGCCAAAACTTCGCATGCAACATCGTGTCCCTCCGGCGCCTGCGTCGGAAGGGATATTGGTGGGACAATAAGGGTGCTAATAACTGCATCCGCAGGAGGGATGACTCCATGGTATGTCGGTTGATTGATCAGTTCGATCAATTCGTCATTGAGCATATTCCTCTCGAAATTACGAATGCAGCATTCGCAGCACGACGGATTCAATTCAACTCATGGACCGAACGGGCGCCTAGCAAGGCATCCGAGCAACGCTGGCATCTCCGACTTGGCCACCCAGGGCCAGAAGCTTTAAAGCACCTCGCTCATCACTCTCGGGGAGTGCGAGTAAAAGGTCCGACCACAATCCAATGCGATGCCTGCGGCTGTTCCAAGGCGAAGAGACAGATCCGCCGGCTGCCACGAGAAGGACCAACCAAACCCGGTCAACGCCTCGCAGTTGATTTCCTGGACCTTGAACTCGACGGTGAAGGATACTGGTGTGCGATGTTGGTTACTGACCGTTACTCCGGCTATGTGTTCGACTTCTACCTAAAGAGGCGGGATACCGATACCTTGATTAGTGCTTTCGAGGATCTTATCGG